TATGACTCCCTGTATGACTTCAATATGACTCCCTGTATGACTCCAATATGACTCCCTGTATGACTCCAATATTACTCCCTGTATGACTCCAATATTACTCCCTGTATGACTCCAATATTACTCCATATATGACTCCAATATTACTCCAATATGACTCCCTGTATGACTCCAATATGACTCCCTGTATGACTCCAATATTACTCCCTGTATGACTCCAATATTACTCCCTGTATGACTCCAATATTACTCCATATATGACTCCAATATTACTCCAATATGACTCCCTGTATGACTCCAATATTACTCCCTGTATGACTCCAATATTACTCCCTGTATGACTCCCTGTATGACTCCAATATTACTCCATGTATGACTCCAATATTACTCCAATATGACTCCAATATTACTCCCTGTATGACTCCCTGTATGACTCCAATATTACTCCTTGTATGACTCCAATATTACTCCATGTATGACTCCGTGTCATTACTCCGTGATTACTTTGTCTCTTTCTGGGGTGTGTCTGGAAAGCATTGTATGGTGATTATGCAGAGACTGTTGGTGATCTTGCGGTGACATGTTTTTGCGTCTTGCGGTTGCAGGCGTCTTGCTGGCGTTCCTGATCGCGCTGTTCGCTGTGTGGAAGGAGTTCGCCGCCGACCTGGAGAAGTACATCCTGCTGGAGCGGGTTCAGCGCTGCGCCCCGGACTCTCGCGTCCACGTCTATTACGGATGGTCGTTCATGTTCGCCGCCGCCGGGACCCCGCTGGTGCTGCTCTCCGGCCTCCTGTTCTTGTGCATCAGCCGAAGTATCCACGTAGAAGAGAAATAGGCGCGGCGGCGGCGGCGACGAAGATTGCGGATTTCTCGATGGCGGGCACAAAGCAATTCCCAAGAAAAGAACATTTTGATGTCTATATTCATAAGTAACCAGCTGTGAGGAGCCGATTAAGAGTCAGATAGAAGGCAACGCACAGACGACGCCTGGCGGGGGAGCGCGGCCTATCGCAGTAAAATAAATATCACGTCCGCGCCCGGGAGCTGCCACCGCCGTGGCACGCGGCTGTAAAGTTTCTGTGGGAGAGTAAGTAGTGTGTGATATATTCCTGGAGCTCTTCTGTCATTCTTTATTCCAATAAAATGTCAAAAAATAAAAAAACCCGCCGCCGCGTCCTCGCGATGACAAGCTCAGCAGGTGACCGCGTAAGTGTAGAGCGTCAGCTCACGGGGTTCAGCTCACAGATCCCTTCTTATGACCCAGCATGCATTGCTCTGCTCCCACGTCCCCGCGATGACAAGCTCAGCAGGTGACCGCGTAAGTGTAGAGCGTCAGCTCACGGGGTTCAGCTCACAGATCCCTTCTTATGACCCAGCATGCATTGCTCTGCTCCCACGTCCCCGCGATGACAAGCTCAGCAGGTGACCGCGTAAGTGTAGAGCGTCAGCTCACGGGGTTCAGCTCACAGATCCCTTCTTATGACCCAGCATGCATTGCTCTGCTCCCACGTCCCCGCGATGACAAGCTCAGCAGGTGACCGCGTAAGTGTAGAGCGTCAGCTCACGGGGTTCAGCTCACAGATCCCTTCTTATGACCCAGCATGCATTGCTCTGCTCCCACGTCCCCGCGATGACAAGCTCAGCAGGTGACCGCGTAAGTGTAGAGCGTCAGCTCACGGGGTTCAGCTCACAGATCCCTTCTTATGACCCAGCATGCATTGCTCTGCTCCCACGTCCCCGCGATGACAAGCTCAGCAGGTGACCGCGTAAGTGTAGAGCGTCAGCTCACGGGGTTCAGCTCACAGATCCCTTCTTATGACCCAGCATGCATTGCTCTGCTCCCTATGGGATCCGTCTATACTGGCGGGGGATCCAGAGCCGTCAGCTGATGTTACATCTCATCAGTCGGCTTAAAGGGGCCCTGTCACCATCATAAGAAAACTGCAAGTCAAAGAATAGAAAGAGAGATTTCCAACCACTGCTATAGGGTGTCACTGGAGCGACAGCCTGGGGTGTATATCTACCGCAAGGCAAACTAGGCATTTGCCTAGGGCGGCACTTTCCAGGGGGCAGCAGAAAAACGCCGCCCCAAACCAATGAGGCGGACAGGACCGGATTTGCTCTTGGCCAGGGGGCCGAGGCTGGGCGGCACAGAATCAGGCAGCGGCGCCTTCCTAATGAGGCAAACTAGGCGGCCGCTCCTCATTAAGAGAGCTGCCCGGTGAGATGCGGTCTGGCTGGCTTTGTACAGGAGGCGGAGGAGAAGCAGCGGGTGGCTCGGGGCTGGTCGTAGCATGTGATCTGATGGTGGGATGTCCCAGGAGGCAGGCTGGGGGACTGCAATGTATCCCGTTGGTACTGATGGCACTTCAAGCTGCAGGTAAGAGGAGCAGCTCATGCATGCAGGGAAAGGGACTATGCACAGTCCTCCTGAGATCCCGCACAGCCCACCATAGATCCCGCACAGCCCACCATAGATCCCGCACAGCCCACCATCGATCCCGCACAGCTCTCCTGAGACCCCACACAGCCCACCATAGATCCCACACAGCCCACCATAGACACCGCACAGCCCACCATCAATCCCGCACAGCCCACCATCGATCCCGCACAGCTCTCCTGAGACCCCACACAGCCCACCATAGATCCCACACAGCCCACCATAGATCCCGCACAGCCCACCATCGATCCCGCACAGCCCACCATCGATCCCGCACAGCTCTCCTGAGACCCCACACAGCCCACCATAGATCCCACACAGCCCACCATAGACACCGCACAGCCCGCCATCAACCCC